CTCGGGACCACCTCTGAGCTGGACTGGGTCACAGGAAACAGAGACAGGGGCTTCAGAACTGCCACATGGCCTGGGACTGCTACTCACACTCGGACTTCAGATGTTTGGGCTGTTTGCTTGGAAAGAAAGGATGATTAATTTCCACTTGGCTTCACGAGCTGTGGTTGGGGTGGGTGGGGTGGAGCCCCTATCTTGGCTTTAAGGACTGAAATTTGTGCCTCTGCAGGAAACAGGACAAAGGGAGGGCGCAATTACAAAAAGAGAAGAGAAACTGAAATCACTTGGGCTTTCTGAGGAGGTGATGACTGCCTGACGCCTCTGCCCTGCACTGGCACCTGCAGTGTGCATTTCTATGTGCGTGTGAATGGGCACACTCGCCACCATCTCCCAGGGCCAGGTGCACAAAATGGGAGGGTGCCTATAGGGAGAGAAGTCCCCTTCAGAGAATGTTGACTTGGAGTCACAAGAGGCACAAAAGAAGGCCAAAGGCTGTGCGCCAAGGATCTACCCACAGACAGAACCACAGCAGAACCCATCCCTCCACAGGGTCCGTACACCCTGTGGGCTGCCAGGCTACCCTTCCTCCCCCAAATGTTAGCAGGGGTTTAGGTTTCCAGGACTCTCAAACCTGCAGCTGGAAGCCATTGGGTGGGCTTGGGCCAGTGGCTCAGCCTCTTCAAGCCCCCAGCCGTGAACCTGTTTTGCAGAGGGAGCGCTGTGCCCCTGTCACATGCTCCAGCCTGGCACCCAAGGCACTCTCCCTTCTTCCAGCCTGGCTGCCCTTGATGCTCACCTTAACCTTGCTATATCTGCAGAAAATGCCATGTGGCGAAAAGGTGGAGGTGAGGGACCCGGCAGAAGGGGGCTAACAGCAGCACATCCAAAGGCTGGGTTCCACCCCTTCCTCTCCCAGCCCATACTGTGTTACAAACAGAAGCACCATCCCAGAGGGAGGGAGCCAAGCTGGAGGGGCAGGGGAGGAACTCACAGGACGAGGGACTCTGCCTCCAGCTCCCAGGCCCCTTCCTGACTTCCTCCAGCTGGGGAGGGCACCCAGCCGACCACAACTTGGAGACTTCCTGTAGGTCACACCACAGGTGGGACACAGACCCTGCAGAGCATGAGCTCACCCAGGGGAAACAGCGCTGGGCTGTGCAGGCTGCGGGTGGAACAGGGTCTTAGTCAGACCCTGCTTTCTGCTGTGGACAGTGGCTCCCAGTGGTTATGCGCGCCTGCTCCTAAAGCCCAAGAACCCCTGCATGCAGAATCCCGGCTCTGTGCAGGACGAGTCACGACGGCTGTCCATGCCTCAGCTTCCCATCTGCAAAGCAGAGCAGGCAACTATGGCACCTACTTCAGGGCTGTGAGGAAGACGCACACAGGCAAGCAAAGTGTTAACACGTGCCAGTGCAAATTTAGCACTTAACAAGGGGCATGAATTCTTAGATGGCGTATTCATTAAACAATGAATGGACAAAGAAGCTTGAAATTAGAACCTTCCCCTCCCCACAAACTCCACTCCACAGGGCTTCTACCTGGACTCAGCCTGCCCTTTGTGCCCGTGAAGGTCTTGGGAGGGAGCTCTCCTCAGCTCTGAGTGCGGGGGTCACAAACTTTTCTATACATGTCAAATAAAGACAGCAAAGATGACAGGTTTTGCCATGTGGCCTCAATCGTCACCACTAAACTCAGTGGCGAGACAATTACGTGAGGGCATGGGTGTGGTTGTGTCCTGATAAAAGTTTATTTACACAAACAGGGTATAGCCCCTTTCCACACCTCTGGAGGCAGGGGGCAGACAGCAGCATCAGTATGGCCTGAGCCCCAGGTGCCCCCCTGAAGCTTCGAACTGGGCAAAAGGAGGGGGCAGAGCAGGGAAGGGCAATGGCACTGCCTCAGTAAAAAAAACAGGAACCAGTCTGTTGAGCCACCACCTCCAAAACTGACGTTCAGCAACCGGAACAGGACTTAAGAGCAGCTGTGGATGTGGGGGGAGGCAGCTAGGCCTCTGGGCACCCCATGTGGTATCTGCGGCTTCTCTACAGTCACAGAGACAGTTTCAGAAATGAGCCCCCTGGCTCCCCAGTTTACAACTTAGGAAACCACAAGAGAGAAAGGAAAAGTATAAAGTTCCTATCTGGCCCTGCAGCCTGTCCAGCCGTGCATAAAAAAATGGTAACAATGCAGATTCTGATATTCTGAGCACGCAGGTATGATATACCACAGTCTTCACTCCAACTTCACAGCGAGGAATAATGGGGTTCTGAGAGCTCAGCGGACTTGCCCAGGGTCCCGGGGATCTGGCAACAAAGCTGGGACTCGCTCCTAGGGGTGGATCCAGAGTGCACAGCCCACCGTCCTACTCTGCCAGGTGGGAGGGGTGAGCAGGGTGATGGCCTGCTTCGGGTCTGGGATGATGCCACCCTATTCCTACCATCGCAAAGACAGCACCTCTCCTGCTCCTCAACAGGGCCAAGAGAGAGGAAGGGGGACGGAGAGAGAAGGAAGGAAAGGGGGAGGGAGAGACAGAACAAGCTTCCCCAAGGCCCACGCCCATCTGCTTGCAACAGCCCTCTCAGCCACTTCTGCCTCCTGCACAGGGCCTCGCCAAGGGCTTCTGCAAGTTCTGGGCAAGGGATTCTACTCCCTTCTCTTCCAGGCAGCTGAGGCTTTGGACACCCAGAAAGGAACATAGGTCCACAGAGCTACTGTGTTAGACAGGGCTGCCCACTGAATGGAAATGCTGAGCTCCGGGTTTCAGCCAGATGCTTCTTAGAGGCCCGGAGCATCCCCTCACATTCCCTAATGATAGCTCTCCATCTAACGAAGTAGGAAACCTCACTACCTTCCTCATCAGGCTCCTGTTCTATAGAGTCAGGTGCCTTCAACCCACTGATAAACATCATACTTATTTGGCCACAGGGATCTCCTGCAGACTTCAGCTATGCTAGACCATGCTAGTGGTGGCTGCCAACGACCTCTTCAGCCCCTGCCAAATCCTCAGGAAGCTCGGGCTGAGGACCCAGCTCAAGCCTGGCTTTCCCAGTCACAGAACCAGGCTGTTGTGTGCCTGTGCCCACCCAGCCCTGAGCTGGCCTTGGTAGTGGGCTCAGCCACCTTCCCTTCCATCTCCGCAGAGGGTAACCTCATGAACAAGAGAGATGAGCAGCCAAGTAAGTCATGAAAGAAAAAGCTGGCCTCAGGCAGTGTGTACTTCAGTGACTAATTTCTGTTTAAAATAATAAAAGAAAAAAACAAGTGCATATCTATGCATAGAAAAACATGAAAGATACACACCAAAATGTTAATAGTGAATACCCTGAGTAAGGGGTCTGCAAATTGTTCTCTGTAAAGGGGCAGGTGGGGGATGAAGTTGAGGTGACTGCGTGTGGCATACAGTATCGATCCCACATAGCAGCTCCTCTGCAATGTACCCACCCAGGACAGCTCGGCCAGAGAGGGCACGGAAGCTGCCATCTCCCCTACCCACTGCTTGCCATGTTGTCTTACAGCCCAGGCACCTTGCAAGCAAAACACTGTTTCGGGGCTGTATGCTGCTCTATCCCATCCCGACCCAGAGGAGGAGTCATGGAACCTCTGATCAAGGCTGAATCAGACAGTCCGCGGGTGAAGGGGGGACTTGCTACTTGGGACTGGCACCTGCAGGGGCAGTCCTGTGGGACCTGTGCTAATGCTGGTTCATGTCAGCACTGAACCAGACTATGGAACTCCTGGCTGGGATTCTAGAGAACTGGTTGTGGGTAGGAAGAATACACATCCTTGGTCACAGAAGTGGTCTGTCTGTGTGACCAACATACTGCACATGGAAACTGTAAGTATGTTTCTTCTGACTAAACAGGTATCACAGGGCTGGGGATTTAGTAGCTTAAGTGCCTGCCTGGCAAGCACAAGGTCATGAGTTCGATTCCCAGTACCAAAAAAAAAAAAAAAACCAACTAAAGAAGTACTACGTGCAAGAATCATCTATTCAAAAACAAGTAAATGAAAAGAATGAACCAGTGAAATTTAACAAAATAAATCATACCGAACATGACTCATGGGCTTCAGAGACCTCCAGGTGACTTATCCTGGGACTCCTAACCCAGGAGGAGGAATGCCTGCTTGTCCCCCTCCCCCCACTGCCCTGCAGGGAGGCCAGAGGTGAGCCAGGGCAGGCATGTGACAAACTGCCCCTCCTGTGAGACAGGCTGCACTCAGCGCATGTGAATTCCCTCTTCTTGCTGGTGGCATTGGTGATGGATTGTTAACCATGCAAAGGAAGGTGCTGAGGGGGCCCTAACTCTCTGCTGCAGACACAGGAACCCTCTCTCCACCTGAGTAAGGGTACTGTCGGCTGTCTGCCTCGGAGTCAGCTAGCTCCCTTCTGCCTCCGCAGCCACCGCCATGAGCCACCACTCCTGACCCGACACCTAGAGCCAGCCATTCTCTCTTCTACTGACCAGGGGCTTGCTGCACCCAGCACCAACCAACCTAGGCAGCATTCTAGACTCTGCGTTCCTGGGGCTCAGGCAGGTGAGCACTCCCAGAATCCCCAAAAACAATGCATGGAAAAGCAATCTTCCTACTCCCTCATCCACAGCAGCACCCCAAATGACCGTTCTCCCTGCCACAGCTCACCATCCCTTAAAAATTGGGGTGTGAGACCAGCCTTCCCATCTGATTTTTCCCACCCAAACCTCACACCTTGCCAAGAGGAACACCACCAGCTCCACACCTACCAACCAGCGCCACGCCCTCCTCGCTCTCCACATCACCACAGACCCCCCAGCTCCCCTGCATCCCAAGGACAGCCACTCCGGGTAATAAGGAGACCCTCACCGGCACACAAGCCTTCCCAGCGCACAGAGGATTTACTGCTCTGGCAGCTGCCCAAAGCTTGGCCTCCACACACCTTCGCCCAACAAGACATGACACAGCTGGCCCGCTGCACTCCCTCGGAGCCCGCCGAGACACGGGCTGCTCAGCTGCCAGCCACTTACCCCTTCTTCAGGTTTTTCACATAGGCACTCTGCAGGGCAGCTTCTAGGAAGTAGGTGAGCTCATAGTCAGCCTGGTGGGAGCTCTTCAGGTGCCTCGAGGCGCTGTTGTTTGCAGTCTGAGAAGGGGAACAGAGAGGGAGGTGTTGTTTCAAAGGATAGAGACAGGTCTGGAGTGTGAGCCCAGCCAGAGAGGTTGGCCCCACTGTCACCCAGCACAGACAAAATGCAACCCAGATCACTTTAATTTACACTATGTCCACACTTGGGAAGCTAATTCAGGAAGATCACAAGTTCAAGCCCAACCTGGGCCACTTAGTGACCTCATGAGACTGTCTCAAAACAAAAAATTAAAAAGAACTAGGGATATACTTAGCATGAAGGCCCTGGGCTCAATCCCTGGTGCCACAAAAAGTAAAAATAACAAATAAATATTTGTAAAGCTTTCTGTCTCCAGCCAAATGGTAAAAGCCTTTGTCTAACACGATATTCACCAATCACAGAATTTTAAATTACATTCATTAGCTCATGCCATCTTTAGAGCAACCCTAATGGGTAGAAACTGTCACTCCCATTTCACAGGTCAGGACACTGAGGCCGAGTCACCCACAGTGTAGATTTCCTGTCTGCTCCCAGCCAAGCAGACTGGCCCTTCTCACCCCTCAGCACCCCTGCCTGAGCCTGCATGGACAGGTCACTTTCCACAGATCCCGCCCCTCTGCTATGCAAATCTCACCTCCCTCAGGACAGGGAGTAAGTCCTCTGGGTGCCAATGCTGTCCATACCCCCCAGAGAGAAGATAGAGCATGAGAGATGAAACTTCCAGAATGGGCCTCCAGGCCCATTACTGAAGCCGTATCACAGCCCTCCCAGGCTGAGCTTTGCCTGCCTTTTATCAAGGAGAAAACCAAGGCTAAGAACACACTTAAAAGTCACAGATGATGCAGGCCTGGGCCTCCAACTCAAGTCTGGCCAGCTCCACACTGTAGGTTTCTTTTGCTTCCTGGCTAATTCACCCCACACACAGCGAATGCTTGCCCTCTGCCAGGCCTGTACCATCCTGGCCACACAAGCTTGGAACACCTCAGGAGCATTCCCCCAGGAGCTGAGACTGTGGCTCCAGGAAAAGCCGCGAACAGTCAATCATTACTTGTCACTTAAACCTCAGTGCTGGGAGCCCCATGGACAGACCTGCCTGGGGAAGCCTTGTCTCCTGCCTATGTGGAAGAAAAAGGTCAATGAGCCACTCAGCTTATCATCAGAAACCAAGACAGACTGCAGAGAGGTTCTCAGTCTCTCGGCCCCTCCAGGACCCAGTCTCGGGAGAGCCGCGGGGCATTTCTGAGAGCGCAGTTTTGCAGTCTGCTCTCCTTCAACTGAAGACACAGCTGTCAGGCCACCTGCCCACCCTGTATCACAGATGTGATTGTAGACCTGGTACCATTCCATCACATCACCTGAATTCCTTTTAGAAGTCCAAAGTCCTGGCTTCCAGCATGTGGGAGACTTGTCTTTTTTCTGAAAGTTTCTTTCAAATCACAAACAATTCAAATGTGAAGTGTCCTTTAAAAAACCACTATTTTCAAGGAGTGACCCAAGTGATTATAGTAGAGGTCATGTAGAGGTCAAGTCCTCAAGCCACTCTGCCAGGAAACAGCACTCAAATCCTGGATTTTGAATCATTTCTCCTTTCCTCCTGAAATCCAGCCAAGCAAAGGACTCAGGGCAGCGTCCTCAATAGCTGGAGGACAGATGCACTGTCTAGAAACTGAGTTGTCCCAGCGAGAAGGGGTGCTGCTGGCACTCTGTGGTAGAGGCAAGGGATGCTGTTCACACCTCTGATTTGGGGTGCAGCCTCCACAGCAAAGACCAATCCAGACTCAGTGTCAACAGTGCTGAGGGTGATGATCCCCATGCTCTGAGAAGTGACAGGTATAAAAGGGGCCCTTGTAGTAGGAGCCCCCACAAGGAAGGCTTTGATGTCTCCTGGACTTGAAGTCCCTCAGCTCATGACAGAAGTCCCTACTGCCTCCTTCACGGCGGCCAACCTCACTTATGCTGCCAGAGACCCTGCCGGCTGACACCTACTAAGCCTCACCTCGTCTCGCCCAATATCAGAGCCACATGCCCTGGTGTTCTTGCTGGTGGCACTTACTTATGAACACCAAGGTATTCAGAATCTAAGTGTGACTTTGCTCACCTGCAGAATGGGAACAGCAGTAGTACCTACTTCATCAGCGGGAGGCCTAAGTTATAGAACACAGGCTCAGTCCTCAGGGCAGTGTCCAACATGAGGCCAGCACGCAGGACATTTTAGTGGTCTATGCTTCATGCAACTGTGTGTCTTCCCCTCAGGAAGCCTGAGCCCCCTGCCAGAGGAAGGACTGAGTTCTTTCCACAGCTAGGTGCCAGCGAGGGTTGGGGATCCTGCTGGATGGCTCTCAGGTCACCTCAAAGGCATGGAGAATGTGCCCCAGGGCCCTATCTCCCATGGAGGTCTGGCAAAGTACTTCTGGGATACCCTCCAGCAAGGAAGGATGTCTAACTGCTAAAAGGAGCCTGAAGCCAGCTCTTCAAGAGGACAGTGTGGTGCAGGAATGATTCACCCTCTCTAAATCAGTTACTAAAGAAATGCACCACTTCCCCAACACACACACTCAGGGTTGCATGAGGAGTGAATGCATGAACACATTCACAGGGCTGGCACATCCGGTCCTACAAGCTGAACTCACCATGGAGTTCCTGGCCCCGCACAGGTGATACGGGCCCATTTATCTACTAAAACTACTTCCTAATGGTAAACACCTTCCTTCTAACCAAATCGGTGTGATGCAGTGAATTTTCTCCAATCCAGGATGTCAAGTGACTTAGAAGACAGGAAGTTCCCTTTTCTAATTTCTATGAGGTGACGCAGGGGCTTGGTGCAGGCAGCAAGTTCAGGTGCTCAACACAGCACCTCAATTGCGGTGCTGCTCTCCCAGCTCACCTTCTCCAGCTCCTGCAGGAACACTTGAGCCACCAAGGAGGCCCTCTCGAAACAGGTGACCACCTCCTCTTCCCGCTCGGTCAGGCGGCAGCGGGAGGCGATGGAGTTGGGAAGGCGTTCCAGGGAGAGACCTGTGGGAAGAAGAGAGCACTTCAGAGCCACCCTGCCCAAGCCCCAACTCCAGGCCCTTCCCTGGCCCAGGCTGCACTCCTCCAAGGGGCAAAGGGACATTCTCTCTGGAGCAGCCAGTGGGAGGCAGAGGCAGAGTGCAGAGAAGCAGCAGCAGCTAAAGCACTGGGGGTACAGCGGCAGCAGGGAGCAGACACAGCCCAGGTGGGACATCGCACTGCCAGCCCCATGCTACACCTGACCACCCTGCAGGCCAGTCACTGGAAGAAAATACACACGGGGGCGGGGCGGCGCGGCCTCACCCCTTCTACATGGCGTGGTGGCCATGTGTAACCAGCCATCTTCTCCCCTGCTGGGTGAACACTCAGCTCCTTGCTCCATGTGGGCAAACGAGAGCCCTCTGGGCAGCCACACCTCAGCCCTGCACCTACACCAATCCACCGTGACCCTGGAGGAGAGTTACCTGTGCTCAGGTCCTGTGTGTAGGGACATCTTCTGGTTTTGCCTCCCCACATTCACATGTTTCAGGAACAGCCTGCCACTGGCCCCCTGACCCTACTGCAGTCTCACCCAATGTGAGGGACATGGTGACTGGCTAAGGGTGAGCACATGGCCCCATCAGGGCAAAATAAAAGCCAGTCCTAGAAGTGCTACTCTTTCCACTGGTACCAGAAACTGGCCTAAAAACAAACTACACAATGTGAATACAGAAAACACTGTAAAGTTAAAAACAAACAACGAAACCTCAAAAACTAAATGAATCAATCTACCAAAGAATTACTCTACCAAACATTGTTAGACTTATTAAGAAACAGAGAAAGTCCACACAGAATAAAGATTAGACATGATAGAAAAGGGCAGATTCCCAGAGACATTGAACACCTAGATACTGCCTTGTCTGAAGCTCTCCCCACTAAACTTTCCAGTGTATAAGCCAATCCCTCCACACACACATCTACTTTCTCCTTTTTCTTTTGCCCAAACCAGTTTGAATTTCCCTTCTGTTGCTTACAGCTAACACAGGCCTGACTAGAGAATGCTGCCTTCAGGATTCTCACTGCCAGGGGACAGAACCCAAACCCAGCACATCCCTGTGTTCCTCATGTGTGATCAGTGTTCAAGCTGACTTCCTAAAGTACTGCATAAGGACACATCCTGTAAGCCCCAACACCCAAGGGATGACCAAGGCAGTCACCCTTCAGGGCTCTGTCCCCCCACCTTGCTGTGGTGCTCCCTCTGTCTGAGTGGAAGACCACGCTACTCCTAGCAGGCGTCCCTTCCTCCAGCCTCACTCCACTCTGACCCATCCTGCATTCTGCTGCCACGGGCACCTTGCTAAAACTCCAGGCTACTGCCAGCAGGTAAGGTCCAAACTCCTGATGCTCTACCCCGACCCTCAAGGATCTATCCCTGTCTCTCTCCACCCTCAGCTCTCGTCCTCCCTGGTACATTCACACTCCACCCCCTGTTCCCCACTGCTGCACTTCGGGGTGCCTTCCTGATTGCTCAAATTGCTCCTCCTGCTGGGAATGCATGCCCCCATGTCTACCCAAATACCCAAATTACTGCTTACTTTCTGATCTTCTGGCTGACACCTCCTGTGTGAAAGCCTCCCTGACTGGTCCCAGTATAGCTGACTGTTCTTCCTTGGAGCCTGGTTTACACTCTCACATTCGTGTGTCACTATTTCTTACACTAATTTGTTCACCCATTTCCCAACCACCAGCTGATGGGGTTTGTCTTTCTCCCACCTAGCACACGATAGGTAGCAGCCAGGTACTGGAAAACTGGAGGAGAAACCAGCCTGATCATGGCCAGGAAAGGACAAAGTGCTCTGCAAACACAGAAAAGGAATAGTGTTGTTTTTCTTGACTAGATTTCAACACACAGGGATTTGGTGACCTTGTCCTTTGTCAGAATGAGGTGTGACTAGGTCCAAAGGTCAGGGTACCTCAGCAGGAGAGCACAGAACAGAAAGGCCTTGCTCACTGAGTTATCATTGTGATCCTGCCAAATGAGTCACAACCAGGTGGAAAAGTTCCTCACTCCTGAGGAATGAGGAGAGAAGAAAAACGGAGAAGTCCACTTATTTCTGGGGCTGGCCGGCCCTTCCTCACTAGATGGGCAGCCTGTCCACCCTGCAAAAAGCTGATCCTGATCCAGAGAACCAAGAACAAGGGGCAGAACACAGTCTCTTCCAAGCAGCACACAGCAGGTCGACTTTAACATCATGCTGACCCAGTGGGCCAAGAGATATCCTGCAGCTGGGTGTCCCCTCCCCAACCTCACGCCCAGCACAGCACAGCAACAAGGGATGCCAGCTGCTGGCAGGCTCAGGATGCTGCTCCAAGCTTCAAAGCAGTTCTGGAAGGCTTGGAAGGGGGCTTCGGCTTCCCCACGGTTCATCTGCTCCTCTTGCCCCAGCAGGATTCTCCCCGCTGTGTTACTGGAAGAATTCCAAGACCATCCTTCTAGAAAGCTCAAAGCACAGCCACCTCCACTCTGATGCCCTTCAGAGCAGTTAAGCTTCCCTACTTCTGACCTAGCAGAACACTCTAGCTTCATCTCAAGATTTTTTTTTTTTTTTTTTGGTGGCGCTGGAGATCCAGGCTGGGGCCTGGAGCATGCTAGGCAGAACTCTCCATTCCCAGCCCGGCATCTCCTCCGCATTCCCCCACCACTGTCACTGCCCACTCTGCCCATTTCCAGTTATCTTTCCAGCCAGTGATATCCCAGGCCAGGTGTACAGGAAAGATGCAGATGGGTGTGCAGAAGGGCAACTGAGACATGCTCAGTGTAGAGCCCGGGGCACTCCCTCCCTCTACACTTAGAAATAGTTCTTGGAGAATTCACAAACTGCAGTATATTTATACAATAAAATAAAGCACAGAAAGATATGTAGAGAATTATGTAAGTATGTCTTGTATCCATACAACATGGACAAATTTCTCAGAAACCATATTCCAAGGAAGAAGACATCAAAAATACATGCTATATGATTTCATTTATACAATTTTTAAATTGTATAAATTTTTATACAAAATTTATACATTTTTAAAAAGGCAAATTAATCCATTGGAATGGAAAATAATCAGTGGTTACTTGGAATGGGGATGATGGGAATTAGAAAGGGGCCCACGGGAACTTTCTGGAATGACAGAAATGCCCTGCATCTTTACAAGAGTGCTGGGTATATGGGGATTCACACAAATCCAACTCATCGAGTTATACATGTGAGATTTGTGCGTATCTCCCTGTCTGAAAACTAATCTGAAAGTGAGACTATGCCTTTTTTATTTTTATTTATTTTTTGTCTTTTTGAGACAGGGTCTCACTATGCAGTTCAGGGTAGCCTTGAGCTCATTTTGTAGCCTAGGCTGGTCTTGAATTCACAGTGATCCTCCTGCCTCAGCCTTTGGAGTGCTGGGATTACAGGCATGAGCCACCACACCCAGACTATGCCTTTTTTAAAGGAAGCAGTTAGGATCCAGAGAAACAGAGGCTCAAGGGGATACGCTCATCAAGGTGGTTCTCTGTAAAACGCATACACTCGTAAGACCAAAAGGTCCCAAAGCAGGCAAAGGCTTTGCCTGAGCAGGGTCACAGTCGGATTATCCAATTCTGCCCATAAAAGAGGCTTCTTTACCTGCGTTTGTTCTCTGACAAATCTGTTATGAAGGCTCACTTTCCTGTCCAGTGTCTGATGGGAACCTACCCGGCCCTGGAATTTTTCCCCTTTGACCTCACGAGCCCTTCTGCACACATGGGTGAAACACATCACAATACCAGTTCCACAATGTAGACATGCTCATCTTGAGCCCAATCTAGAAGGAACCCAGCGCTTGTGAAGCAGTCTTGCAGGGTTAGTGGGGGCCAGGGATTTCCACCAGAGAGGGCCTTTCTGTGCCAACATGTAGCTCAACCACCCAAAGAGAGCTCCTTTCAAGAGGGTGCCCTGCTTTGTCATTCTCCGTTTGGAAGCAAACAGATTCAGGCCCAGTCTCAGATTCAGCACCAAGCTGGTCCCACCTCCTTCAGTCTGAGATGACTCATCCATCCCAGGCAGTCACCTCTCCATGCAGGCTTGGCCAAGGGACCTGGAAGCCCTGGCCCTGGATACAGAGATGAAGACAGAAAGCTTCTTCATCTATGGAACACCTTTATACTTCACCCCCATGTGCCTACATAGCCAGTGAAAGGGCCCCAGATATCCACAGCACCCCAGAGCTGGGCACCCTGAGTGCAGGAGAAGGAAAAACACACAGTGACTTCAGCCTTAGAGGTAGTTTTAAGACCCACAGATCATACTCTAAACTGTGTAGGAATGTGAAATGGCACAGTGCTGTGGGGAACAATACAGTGGCTCCTCAAAACATGGAAAAATAGCCCAGTGTGGTGGTATACCTGTAATTCCAGCACGCGGGAGGCTGAGGTAGGAGGATTGCTACAAGTTTGAGGCCAGCCATAGTTAGTTCAAGGCCAGTTTGAACTACATAGCAAGATCCTGTCTCAGAAAAACAAAACAAAAAAAATTGAGAAATACACACACACAATTGAAAACTAGCACTGCATGACTCAGCAATTCCACCTCGAGATACAGACTCGAGAGAATTGCCGGCAGGGTTTTGCAGAGATCAATGTATAAACACATGCACAGCACTATTCACAATAGCCAAAGCATGGAATGATCAAAGGCCCCTCAATGGATGAAGATGCCAACAAAATGTGCTACATATGTGTATCCAATGCAATGTCATCCTACCTTCTGGAGAAAGAAATTCCAACATACGCTTCAGTGCAGTACAGACACAAAATGCAAGTGCTGCGTCGGTGATGGGGAGCCCCGTAGAGCTTTCACTGATAACAGCCCAGTGCAGCACGTGTGCTAGGCTCACCACCACTGTACTGTATGATTCTACTTCCATGAGATCAAACTCACAGAGTCCAAAAACAAAAGGGTGTTTGCCAATGGCTGGAGGAGGGATGAAAAAGTAGTCACTGT